GTCGCCATCCTGCGCCCTCACATGGTTTTTTTTTCGGGAACTTCACAAAAACAGAAAGCTCGCACTTTTTTCGATAGTCAGGGCACTGTTACGCTTAAGAGCATTAGGGAGGGATGGATCACAGGGCATTTTGCACTTTCGTCGGTTCCCTTTGCTAGTTCTTGTCAACTAGCATATCTTACCTTGGAGAAATCTGCAAACTCTTATGAAGCTGAGGAATGGTACAAGCGACAGGAACTTGCGGGTTATCACAAGGTGGCCTCTTCAAGCTCTGCTGAGTCCATCTGGTGCCCCCTCCAAGCCGAACTGCGCCCATAAGCACTTATATCTTTACCTTACTTACCATCTTCTTAGTTATTGAAATCACTTACACTTTGTTCCTTTCCCTCTTTTTTTTGATGAGCTACCCACTTAGATATCAGACTACTTATTTGCACATTTACTTAGCTAGTAAATAAGCTCAAATCAGATTTCTCAGTGAAATATCCGATTCACGATTGTTTTCCACAGCTGCACGGGGGGGGGTATCGGAAACCTTTTACTTCAATATTCCATGATTGTTTTTCCATATTTTTTCATTATTTCTTACATTTTCCTTTTTATCGATTTTTGTTATTTCATGATTTTCGAAGCGAAATCAATAAACAAGAAAGATTAAAAAAAGGCCAGATAATGGCATACTAGATAAGTAGTCGGAAGAAAATAAAAAAATAAACAAATGAAACAAATGAATAATGAAAAATAACTACTCTGTATATTTAGCAATCCTGCGGATGGACTGTACAGGCCTTCGACTCCTAGTGAAGATAGCGATGGCGGTGATGTCAAACTGAATGTAAGTATTTCCTGAGGTTATCATGAGAATGCCGACTCACAGGAAAAGCTTGAACCCATGCGGGACTCGAACTCGCCTCTCGCGCGTTTCGAGGAAGCGCGTCTTTGGTTACGCCACAGGGGCCGCTCTTTCCCAGTGTACTGATACGTCATGGGAGGGGAGTATTAAAGGGCATTCATCTGGTAGTGGAATAGACGGATACTTCAGAAAAGTGCTCTATCCGTTACGCCCATGATCTCTCTGAAGTTTGAATTTCTTTTGTGCCATAGCCATAGAGCGCGTTCATACTTCGCGATCAGATCGCGCGAACGGTTCAGGCGAGCGAATCGTAAGGATTACGACACTCGCACGTTCAACCTGATGAGTCGGTTCGCCGATCTAGGCAGAATCACGTCCAAACAGGCTGCAAGTATTGATTAGTATTGATCGACTCGAGGAGAACAGAGACGGTTCTATTATAGGATGAGAAGTTGCCTCTTCACGCTTTCGTAGTAAAGTTGTTCTCGTGCTGTGCTTCGACATCACGTATTCTGATTTGGGCGCAAACTCTGAACGTCCAACCAACTGAACGGGAATCGTAGTGTGTGGTGTCGTGTGGTGTGTGTGTGTGTGTGTGTGTTGTGTCGTGTGTGTGTTGTGTGTGTTGTCTGTGGTGTGTTGGGGAGATGGCTGTGTACTGGGGGGAATAAATGCTTACGGACAATCTCTGTGATAGCTCTTATGCTCGAAGAAGCGGCGCCCACCGCTAGAATCATAACTCTACATAACAGTACTTTTGGATCGCAATAATCGATATTGATTGTTTTCAGGTATCAAATGAACACGGCTGTACGATTCAATCATGTCATCAACGAGAATTCACCGAATTCACAGCTGGTGCTTTTGAATCTGCCACGCCCACCAAAGCATCGGTAGCAGCTTTTCCAACACAATTATATGGCTTGTTCTATTTCACTTCCTTGAATTTTGGAATTATCATTGAATAGCTTATCACCAGAAAAGCAGGCAATCAATGAACCTCGAGTAGCCTCTGAGAAATAAAGGGAACACACAGCCGCAGCACCTAACTATAACGACCGTCGCTGCAGGAGAACTCGTGCGTTCCGAGCTGGCTGCGTGTTAGAATCATCTAGTACAGACGACTTATCTGAGTCTTGACAGCGCTGCGTGATGAGGCATGGTGACCGCTACTTCGTATACAATAAAGTGAGGGCCAGAAGGGGGTGGGGTGTTAGAGGTGGTGCATGAAGATGGTGATTCTCTCTCCCTAGCCGAAATTCAAGCTTGTAATTTGACACTTCATATTGAACACCGTGAAGCAGCGTTCCGTGGCGCAAGAGAGGCTGCCCACATCGCGGCCGCACGCGTCCAAGACCTATGAACTCTACAACTTGAGTAATCATTAAACGACTATTGATGAGCACTGATTGTGAGGCACTTGGGCTAATAGGCGAGACTATGCCAGCTCGAATTCATGTTCGCCTGCTCTAGACCCGCCCACACTTCCTCCTCCAACTGCCTTCCTTCTTTAAATTTCGCCAATTCATCATGTTAAAGACAACTATCTTTTATCGATAGGTATTGATCGATTGTTTGTTCCAGGTCTACCTTGACGTACTGACCGAAAACTTGCAACGAGTGCTGTTCATCGGTGGTAGCGGTAAGGAAGTGGTCAGTATCGATTCATGATAAACAAATCGATACGTGGATTACCGTACAAATGATCGATTTTCTAATTAAACTCGAAAACTCAGCGATCTCTCGCCACTTATTATTGATTGCACTTATTGATTTTTCTTTGTAACGAACTATTAATCGATTCGAATGCGAATGAACGAGCTTATTTCATGATCCATGACAGTGAGTATAATTCACTTTTTTTATTATTTACGTTTCATGACAGATGTTGTTATTCTTGAATAAATTTCGTTGGCAAACTATCTTTGTAAGTGAGATGGGAAGAGTTGAGAGTTCCATATGCTGCCGCGTGCGGTTGCGTCACGGTCACTATGGGTCGCATCCACAGACAAGCCAGTAGAAGCGAAATTCACAGTGTAAAGCGCAATAACTAAGCCGTTAGGCTCGACTTCATCTGAGACAACACTATTCCTATCTTGGTTTTAGAGAATCCTTCAGCCATTTATTCAAAGCGAAGCCGGGTCCTACCGGTAGCAAACTCCGGCCCCTATTTGGCGAGCAAACATTGCGATGACACCCGCTCATGTTTGGCTCTAATAGGGCTAGGGGAAGTGGAAGGGAGGGGCCATGTTCATCACCTTCCTTTTGCGGGACGTTCATTTTCTAATTAATTAGGCTTCATTAGTTTGACTCAAAGCATTTGAACTCTTGAAACTACGGAGAGCCACAAGTGAGTTTAGTTAAGGAATTCACAGGTCTTGACGAGGTGGCTTCTACAAGCCTCGTTCAAGTGCCACTTGGTGCCCCCCCCCCCCACAAGCCGAACTGTGCACACATGGTTTGCCCGTCCACTATAGAATGACACAACGCTGCTCTGCACGGTCTCTACGAGTAGAAGGACAATTTCAATATGGGCAGCATGATAGTAGTCAAGATAGTAGTCTACAGCTACCCTTACGGCTTATCCCCTTCCTTGTTCAAAAGAAATGGGCGGAGCTCACGCCGAGTATGGCGTGGCCTGAAGTCAAAAGACCATGGTTTGCTTTCAGAAGGGTCCCCATTGTCACCAACAGTGGCTTTCTCTGCTGAGCATTTGCCTTCGAATGTTGGTGTCAATATGCCCACCCCCACGTTTCCAAAAAATTTCTGTTCTAGATACTACAATCCTCTCCCCAACCACTAAGTACTGCCGTCCCCCCCCCTCATCAGATGTGAATTTCTGGACGAGGCAGCACGCTGCTTTGAGAGCTCTTTGTTTTTGCGCGAAATCGTAGCGATCTGTGATCCCACACTTGTACGAGGAAGTTGTGCAGACGAAAAAGCGTCAAGCAATTAAATTCAGGCGTGGTCAAGCGCAAACATTACACATTAGGAGAGCAATGATCGTGCACCTAAACGGGCCACTGAAGGCGCTGAACAGAAATGTTTCTTTATAGATTTTTGAATGAAGTTTCGTCTACATAATTTTGATAAAGACCGAATTTCGGGTTCACCAACATTCATCAAGGCGATAGCAGACTCATAAACGCAGAAAGTCTTTACACGTTACTCTTCCTATCCGTTTCTTTGGTCCTGCCTGGGCCGGGGGGG